TTTTTATTATGCTGGAACTGGCCAGTTTGCAAGAGTATTTTTTTTTTAGTTACACTTGTTTCTGACGTAGTTCCTGGCAACTTATGCTCTTTAACAATAGTATTTTTAGAAGCTGCCGTGGTCTAGCGGCTAGACGCTCGCGTGCGGATCCGAAGGTCGTGGGTTCAGGTTCTGACGGAGTTTGAATGACCTTGGCTATCAAGTATTTGCCTCGTATTTGACCTCTGGACGCACCCTACCCAGGTGTTGTAGCTCTGCACTTGGAGCTCGCCATCATGGGTGTGGGCGACTACAGGGGAAGGCAGGTTGTCAAGCTGATTTCGCAGGCGGTGGTACGTTTCAATATTTAGTCCTGAAAAAGTAGTCTCTAGTAGTTATTCTGTGTAATATGTAGGTCTGTATTATCGATAGGATGGCAGGTAGCTATAAGCGATTTGTTGATCTGGTGGCACATTGAAGCTTAACGTATATGTTAAATATGTTTCGGTTTTTGCCATCGTTGAGGTAATGTCGCTGGGCGTATGGTGTCATGATCATATTTCCTTGTTAGATGATGATCGCTTTAGATTCTAGTTGAGCACGTTGATTGTTGTTAGTGTTATTTGTGGACCACGCTGATTTTATGTTAAGTGCAATAAACAGATGTTCAATGTAGTAATCATAGTTCCATTTGTTTTTCGTTCAGATTGGGACTTGTTAGTGTGCCTAGTTTAGTATTCGTTGCTTGGCTGATCTAGACTTTACACAAAAGATACACTGTCAGGGTGAGATACTTTTGATCTTACCCCCGCATAAACGAACTAGTTTTTTTTTTTTTTTTTGGTTTTTGTTACTGAGGCAGCTTAAAGATGGGTTTTTGGTTCCCACTCGCCACGTCACTTTGTTAGAGCTCTTGCAAGGTTCGGAGTCGAGGAGATTTCAAGGAGTAGATTTCCATATCATCCTTTATATCTTTCCTCCATTACAAGATACCCCCTCTGCTTTGCTTCTAGTACAGTCAGAATGCCTGTTTGTCGGCCCGAAGGAAGTGGGTTCGAACTGCATCAAGGCAGTTGTTTCTAACTGATCTGGGGTAGTCAAGTCGATCTATCACCCACTGGGTACCAGGAAATTTTATGTAAGGTAAAGGCCAAGTCGACAACATCACACATTGAGAACCTAGTAATCTATAAATTGTGAGGTTTAGCGTCAAATGCCCGGCGTACAAGCTGGCTGAAAGCCCTCCGTTAATTTTTCATCATCATCATCTTCTTCATCATCATCAGAGTCTCATAACACCGCTTGTCTTTGGGTCACCAGTTGCTGTTCATTGTTTAATCAGCGCTGGACCGGATTCTTTTTCTTCTTCCTCGTCTTCTTTCTTCTTCGCGTTGTCTTCTTTGCCCAATGAAGCATAGGCCTGGTTGGTTTGTATTTTGACTGTTTTTACAGGATGAAGAAGCCAACCCTACCCTAGTTGCCTCTTACGACATGACTGTAGGGTACAGTGATAAAAATTCTTTGCTTTTCGTGATTGCCCTGGTAACACATTTCACATTCACCAGCTCAGGAGGAAAATTCTAAGTGTTCGTCCACTGCCGGACTTTAACCTTCTGCCAGAACCTAAATGTTTCGTGCACATCCGTTTCACAAATCTGGCTTATTGGTATGCAGAGTCTTGATTTTTAGCCGTCATAGGCAGATGCCTCTGACTTAGAAGGATGCTCCCAATTAGTTGACTCCTAAGACATGCTTGTTGGGGAGGTAGAGGGTATATTCTTATCCCCCACCAGATCTTTCTAAAAGATCTGAATGTAAAGGAAGATTGGATTCTTTTTTTAAACAGCATTCTCCCTCAGAAGCTAAAGAATTTTGGTCATATCAAGCGCCAAGGCGGATTTGAGGAAAAAAAAAATTAAAAGCAGAAGGACAGAGACCGACCAATACGAAGATGGGCACATGATATAAGTGACTCCTTGGGTATGAAAGTGCACGAGGCGGGAGAGCTGGCGAGAGGCCGAGTTTCTTTCAGGCAAATCACGATGAGAGTGACGTTCTGCAAAGGGCCTGCTACATGATGATGATGTTGGTAAGGCGAATTCACAAACGACGAGGTTTTACGTATTAACCAGCACACTGGTAACCGAACCTCTTTTAATCAGTGAAGCCCGGCTCTCTAGCGTAGTTGGCTAAACCGGATTGCGCGGAGACCGGGTGACAAACTCCTTGTGGTCCGGGTTCACTCCCGGGGGTAAAGCCACATTTCTCCCAGATTTACGGTATTTACAGTGGAATCAAGGCCGAAAGGTTGCGATATCCATAATACCGAGCCTAAGGGTTAACAACTCATGGCTTCTGGATACTAAGACAAACAAACATAGGGATGCAGCCATGAAGTCAATCGCATCAGACTGTCAAATATGAGGGATCTGATCAGACACCCCAAGCTACTAGTCTTTTCCACACATCGGTCACATATTCATTACGTTTCACCTTTGTTTTAAACTTCCTTTTCCCCCAGGGCAACTGAAGTCTCCATTGGGTTCTCCATTGCGGCCATCGCTTTCATCACCCTCAACTACCGCCACCAGAGAGCCAAGCGACGGCAACAGCAGCAGCAACATCTGGTAGCTACAAGAGACTGCATTGTCTAAGGACATTCTCTGCTAAGTTTTCTACAAGATAAGTCGTGTCGTTCAAACTGCATTGTCTAAGGACATACTCTGCTACGTTTTCTACAAGATAAGTCGTGTCGTTCAAACTGCATTGTCTAAGGACATACTCTGCTACGTTTTCTACAAGATAAGTCGTGTCGTTCAAACTGCATTGTCTAAGGACATTCTCTGCTACGTTTTCTACAAGATAAGTCGTGTCGTTTAAACTGAATTGTCTAAGGACACACTCTGCTACGTTTTCTACAAGATAAGTCGTGTCGTTCAAATTGCATTGTCTAAGGACATTCTCTGCTAATTTTTCTACAAGATAAGTCGTGTCGTCAAAACTGCATTGTCTAAGGACATTCTCTGCTAATTTTTCTACAAGATAAGTCGTGTCGTCAAAACTGCATTGTCTAAGGACATTCTCTGCTAATTTTTCTACAAGATAAGTCGTGTCGTTCAAACTGCATTGTCTAAGGACATTCTCTGCTAATTTTTCTACAAGATAAGTCGTGTCGTCAAAACTGCATTGTCTAAGGACATTCTCTGCTAATTTTTCTACAAGATAAGTCGTGTCGTTCAAACTGCATTGTCTAAGGACGTTCTCTGCTAATTATTTTCTACAAGATAAGTCGTGTCGTTCAAACTGCATTGTCTAAGGACTTTCTCTGCTAATTATTTTCTACAAGATAAGTCGTGTCGTTCAAACTGCATTGTCTAAGGACTTTCTCTGCTAATTATTTTCTACAAGATAAGTCGTGTCGTTCAAACTGCATTGTCTAAGGACATTCTCTGCTAATTTTTCTACAAGATAAGTCGTGTCGTTCAAACTGCATTGTCTAAGGACATTCTCTGCTAATTTTTCTACAAGATAAGTCGTGTCGTTCAAACTGCATTGTCTAAGGACTTTTCTCTGCTAATTTTTCTACAAGATAAGTCGTGTCGTTCAAACTGCATTGTCTAAGGACTTTCTCTGCTAATTATTTTCTACAAGATAAGTCGTGTCGTTCAAACTGCATTGTCTAAGGACTTTCTCTGCTAATTATTTTCTACAAGATAAGTCGTGTCGTTCAAACTGCATTGTCTAAGGACATTCTCTGCTAATTTTTCTACAAGATAAGTCGTGTCGTTCAAACTGCATTGTCTAAGGACATTCTCTGCTAATTTTTCTACAAGATAAGTCGTGTCGTTCAAACTGCATTGTCTAAGGACTTTCTCGGCTAATTATTTTCTACAAGATAAGTCGTGTCGTTCAAACTGCATTGTCTAAGGACATTCTCTGCTAATTTTTCTACAAGATAAGTCGTGTCGTTCAAACTGCATTGTCTAAGGACATTCTCTGCTAATATTTCTACAAAATAAGTCGTGTCGTTCAAACTGCATTGTCTAAGGACTTTCTCTGCTAATTATTTTCTACAAGATAAGTCGTGTCGTTCAAACTGCATTGTCTAAGGACATTCTCTGTTAATTTTTCTACAAGATACGTCGTATCGTTCAATCTGAACAATTCACAGCAGTTTTTTTTTTTTAAATACTAAATTAAAAACAATGTTTTCCCGTTGTAAATATGAATAATGTGGACACGAACAATACACTGCATAATTTATTGCCTGGCATATTTCGCCGTGTCTCGTCATGTGTATTACTACGTTACCACACACTGAATAGACATTTGCTAAAACTGGCAAGGAGCCGTATCATTAAAATTGAACTCTGTTTTATGTAAACAAAAAATTATCGTGGTAATCACAAAGTTGAATTTCCGGCGGAGAGATGTGTAGCAAACCTGACAATGCGATTTTTTTTTTTTTTTTGGGTATTTCAGCGAAAAGGGTTCATTCTTTGTGTGCTCTTTATATGTTGATTGAAGCCTGTAGTTACATCTGACTAAATACAGTGAAATATCATCATCATCATGTAGCAGGTCCTTAGCAGAATGTCACTGTCATCACGGTCTGCCTGAAAGAAACTCGGGTCTCTCGTCAGCTTTCATACTTTTTTTTTTTTTTTTTTTGCGTTCGGTTTCGTATGCTCTCATATTCTGTGCCCATCTTCGTGCTTGTCGACTCTTGCCCCTCCTTCCTGGTAATATGCCTTCTGTATTACAGTGAAATATACCAGGCAGTTAACTGTACGATGTATTGTTTGTGCCCACATTATGTGAATATTACAAGATATGTCCAGTCGATAATAGTTGTAAGTCGCGGTTTCACTTTCACGGCAACTGGTGGCCTAAAAATTATTCATTTTTATATTCCAGTGAAAACCACATAAGCTTCCCGAAAGCCCAGGTAGATCAGGTCCTTTGGATATTTTTTTTTTTAAACGGATGTTTGTGTAGTGGGAAACGAACGGGCAAACAGACTGACTGATTCTGTTTCGACTGAACACTTGAATTACCACACAAAGTAAACTTATACCCGCATCAGGAGGAGACAATCTACCTCCTTTAGTTATGTTATGAGAGGGAGACAACTCTAGTGAATCGTGACGGTGTGGAAGTTAAAGGGATGATGAGATAAATTGATCGTAAATATCATTGTTCTCATTATGACATCACCAATAAAAGCACAATTCGCTGTCGAAGAAAGCAGCAAACACAACAAAACAAACAGTATGTACATGCACTGTTGCATAAGGTTTACCATCAGTTTGATAGTCCGGTGGCAAGCGGTCACCAGCTGCGCTCTGAATATATACCATTGACACACTCTTTCGTGGACGAAAAACAGGCATCCAAATTGATTTGATAATCATAGTGTCACACCACATACACAACTAGATGGGTAATGGGACCATTAATGCAAGTTCCATTATGAGCAAAGTGCGTCAGAAATCATGGCCAAAGGCAGACTGTTTAACGGACTGCCTGCCAGTCCATATTATTTCAATCACTCTATCTCAGTTGTGATGATGATGATGATGGTGATGATGATAAGGGTGATTAGTAGTAACTTTAACCCCACCAAGGACATCACACAAGCGATAAAACCCGATGACACAAAGTGCCACCATGTGGATGAGGATCACCCGTGGAGAGGTCCCAGAAACCGCGTTCAGCCACTAGACCATAATTATGGTCGGGCTATAGTGCGGCCCCTGACAAGAGCCAGAGTAGGGTTTTAAAATAACAAAAACAATTGCATCCCATAAGGGGATGACTAAAGTTTTACGAGGGTGATTGTGATAATGATGATGGTGAAAACACGATGAGGATGACGACGACCATAACGATTTAAATCAAATGCAATTGCGAAATAATATTTTTATATTATATAACAAATTATTGTCCATCATCATCAACGAAGCTTGAACAGCTCAGAAAGCCAACATGAGGCGTCCCGGGAGGATGCAAACACGCGCAATTTACTGACGAACCCATTTGTACCAAGTGTTTGTCTCATTATCTCTCTTGGTTTATCCAAGTTATCCCCCTTTTTTCCTGGACAGCTGGAGGGGCCCCTCACTGGAATTACGTCTTGATGTTTTAGCCTATAGCGATGTTTATGCGAAACCCATTTAGATTAGGGCCCGGCTTGTGTCATGTGGGGCCCTATCGAATTTTTCTGCTCGTGGAAGGTGCCCTAACCTGATTTAGGGTGATAACTTATGGAAACATTTGAGAATTATTGCAATCTAAGGCTGTTTGTTTGCCTCCTCCACCCTAAGCCTCTTTTTTATTGTGTCACTTTTTTTTCCTGTCAATAATCTATGAGATGATACTATATATACACGTCAGCTACATATACTAACCCACTAGACATACTACAAGTGACACACTAGATATACTAACCCACAACATTGACCCACTATATAGACAGACCTACTACATTAACTGATCCACTAGAGAAAAGCAGCCATATCAGTCGTCTACCCAACTGACCCACTATGTAACTGACCCACTAGATATACTAACCGACTACACCAACAGACCCACTAAGTAAACTGACCCACTAGATATACTAACCGACTACACCAACTGACCCCAACACTGACCCACTAGATATATAACCGACTGACCCACTAGACTATACTAAACGACCTACTAGATATACAACAGACTACACAACTGAAAACTGTAAACTGACCACTAGATATACTAACCGACTACACCAACTGACCCACTATGTAAACTGACCCACTAGATATACTAACCGACTACACCAACAGACCCACTATATAAACTGACCCACTAGATATACTAACCGACTACACCAACAGACCCACTATATAAACTGACCCACTAGATATACTAACCGACTACATTAACTGGCCCTTTTAATGTGCTGAGACCACCCACAGACCCACTACATCAACAGACCCACTACATCAACTAACCGACGAGATCAACAGACCCACTACATCAACAGACCCACTACATCAACAGACCCACTACATCAACAGACCCACTACATCAACAGACCCACTACATCAACAGACCCACTACATCAACAGACCCACTACATCAACAGACCCACTACATCAGTTAACCAACGAGATCAACTGACCCACAAGTTATACTGACTACACCAACTGACCCACGATTTGTCAATGTGCATACATTTGGGAGGTCGGGTCGGGAAAAGAGGGGGAAATGGTTAAAAGACATTACAAGAGTATAAATTACAAAAATGTACAAATGAGTTTAAGAAATATTTTCTCTTTAAAAAAAATGTCTCTTGCAAATGATGTATGGTTTATCTAAATTTTATTAAATAAAATTATCTTCCTCAGATGTGTTTCAATTGATTGATTGACTGACAGATAAAGTGGGTGAGTGGGCAATTGATTGATCGACTGACTCATAAAGTGGGTGAGTGGGGAATTGATTGATTTACTGACTGATGAAGTGGGTGAGTGGGCAATTGATTGATTGACTGACTGATGAAGTTGGTGAGGGGGGAATTGATTGATTGACTGACTGATGAAGTGGGTGAGTGGGCAATTGATTTTTAATTAATTATCAATTGATTGATTGGCTTTTGATTGAATAAATG